AACATAATATCAAATATAAACATATAATTATTAAAAAAAAGAAATCCCAAATTTTTAAAACAAAAAAAAAAAAAAAAAAAAAAAAACCGGTATAATTTCATTCTGTACAGAAAAAAAAAAACCAACAAAAAAAAAAATTCTAGCCAGCTAGCCTGCATTTGATATATTAAAAAAAAAAAAAAAAATGTCTATGACAGCTTTACGAATAGATAATATGGACCAACAAACTTCGGGAAGTCATATAAACCATATAAACCGCAAGGGTAACATATATTTAAATGAAACTCCTAAAGTAAAAAATTTTGGAGATAAAAAAACCGAATTTTTTACAACAATGTCACAAGAAGAACGTCAAAAAATGGAAGAACAACAACGATTACTTTTGGCTCAAATACAAGAACAAATTGATAGTGGTGATGATGATGATGATGACGATGATGATATTAATGATTCTAATTCCTCTTCGATACTATCTTTGATTTCTTCTTATGCTAGTGAATATATAGATATGCCACGTGAAGCTTTTAAAGATGTCAAGGTTATTGTACCTCTCACTCCTAAACCTATAATGTCTCCTTCTTCTCCAAAAACCATGTCTCTTGGAAGAATAAATATTAGTTCTTTAAAAGATGCTTTAAATCGTCCAAGGAATTCAAGACATCTAAAGAATTTAAGTGAAATGAACATTTCTCCTCCTGATATAAACGATCCAATTTTATTTGAATCTAAAGTTGCAAAATGGTCTTCTTCTACTATTAAAAAATCTTCAAATAAATATCTTATTTTAACAAGGAATAGTTTATGCGGTTTTAAAAATGCTGATAAAGCCAATAAAATTTTCGATGGATTACCTCTTTATACTATACCAAGAAAATCAAGTGCTGATAGTAGTTGTTCAACTGATATTACAAATTTATCAGATTCATCAAATACAAAAACTTTACCAGCTGAACATGTTATTCTTTGTTTAGCTACTGTATTTGCTATTACTGAACAATTAACTCCGGAACCTCATATTAGGATAGATTATATGTCTTCATTAAAAAAACAAGTTCATGTCTCTATAACGGCTCCTGATATTCAAAAACATCGTCAATGGTTCGCTGTTTTAAAACCCGCTATTCATAATTCCGATCCAATAGGTTCTTTCTTAACTAATGATCAAAGAATTTGGATAATGAATAAATTAAGATCATTAGATGATTTAGCTGATGAAAATGAAAAAAAATTGATGGCTCATAGAGTATTACTTAAATCATTAACTGATGAAAATAATTTTGGTCAATCTGAAAAAGATCTTAAAACTCCCGTTTTCTTAATATTAGGAAAGAATAATATTTATATTATTCCAAGTAATGTAAGAAATGATGGTATACCAAGTGAAGAAAATCGTAAAAGTAATGATTTTAAAGTTAACAATAATACAAAAAATTCTAATAATTTAATAAAAGAAATTGATTTTTGGAAATATAAATATCCTTTATTATGTATAGCTGATATTAGATTTAATAATTTAGATGATACTTTTCAAATTACTTTTAAAAATGATGATAAATTTTCGAAAAGAACAATTATTATTTCTTCTTTATTTAGTGAAATTATTATGACAGAAATTAGATCTGTTATAGATTCAATTACTTTTTGGTGGACGAGTCCTTCTTATAAATCCGTACAATCTTCAACTACTATATCTCCAATTTCTCCTATATCATCTATTAATTCACCTATATCATCTATTACTTCTCCTATATCATCTATTACTTCACCTATATCATCTATTAATTCACCTATATCATCTATTAATTCACCTATATCATCTATCACTTCACCTATATCATCTATTAATTCACCTATATCATCTATTACTTCTCCTATATCATCTACTCTAACAACAAAAATTTCTCAAGAATTTGGTATAGAAAGAATGATCGAAGCTCAATGTCATGTATTTGGTGTATCTAAATCTAGGATATCATTTAATGTAGAATACGTTCTTGGAGATGATAATATTCAACTTGGATTAGGTGTTGATAATTTACCATTTAGATTCATATTACTTCCTCCAAAACATGATAATAATGGAATTTATTCAACAGATGAATTAATGGCAGTATTTAATTCATTAAAGTATCATCCTTTACTTTCTGAAGTTATATTAAGTAATATCAATTTATTTGAACTTCAAATTCAACCAGCTTCTCAAAATAATGAAGAATGTAATAATATGCTTGGTACTGTATTATATGATTTATTAATATCGAACACTAAATTAAGAAAATTAAATTTAAATTCATGTGGAATTACAAGTGAAACTATTTTTGCTATTGGAAATGCTTTAATTACCGGAAATTCTAATTTAAATAAATTATTAATAAGTGATAGTTCAATAACAAGAGAATGTGCTCAAACTTTAGCTAATGGAATAAAAAGTCATTCATCATCAATCAAAGAACTTGATATTTCAAATTGTAAATTAACTCATGATGGTTTAGTATTAATAATTCAAGCTCTTTATTCAAAAAATCCTGAAGAATTAGAATCTTTAAATATTTCTGATAATATATGTGATATTGATTCAATAATTTTAACTGAATTACTTTTAAAAACAAAAAATTTAAGAACATTAAATTTACGTAATTGTTTAAAATTTTTTACTGGTATAAAACCTATAATTTCATTAGAAACTTTAGGTGAAATTCAATTAACAACTTTAGATCTTGGTGGTATTCCATTAAATAATAAATCACATTTACTTTCTTTATATGCTTATATTAGATCATCATCATTTTCTAAAGTAAAATATTTTAGTATTGATAATTGTAATTTAGATGGTGAAGCATTAGCTGTAATACTTTCTTATATAACTACTTCTCCAAATTGTGAAAAAATTAGAGTTTGGGCTGGAGGAAATTTTATAGCAAAAACATCTGATTCTTGTAAAGAATTTTGTTACGCTGTGCGTAATGATTGGACTCCAATTTGGTTATCTTTAAAAGATTCTATATTTGGTTCAAATATTGATCAAGTTATAGAAATTTTATCTTCATTTTGTGAAAATACTGTTATAAAATATTTGGATTTATCAAATCCTCAATTTTTTATATCAAATGAAACTATTACTCAAAATCCTCAAATTTTGACAACAACTAAAAAAGCTTGTGAAGTTATTGGAAAATTATTTAGATCAAATAAAAATATTTTGGAATTAAATTTACAAGGTAATTCAGAACGGAAATGGGGTCACTTTTTGGGTGCTCAATTATTGAAATTAGATGAGAATACTCGATTGGAAAGGTTGAATATTGAAGGAAATTCTATTAGTGATCAAGGTGCAAAATCATTAAGTGAAGCTTTGAAAAAAAATGTAACGTTGAAAAGTTTAAATATCGATGATAATGAGGTATTTTTTTTTTTTTACATATAAATTTTTATCAATATGATTTTTATTCTTTATATTATACGTTTTTTTTTTTTTTTTATTAATATTTAATAATTATTTTAATAGATCGGAATTGATGGATATTTATCTTTACATAAAGTTTTAACATCTCGTCAAAATATTACACTCCAAAATTTTGGATTTCCAATAAAGGATTTTCAATCTTATAACGAAAGTTTAGATACTAAATTAACAACCACTTTACCAATCACGAGAACAAGTCAAAAAATTGCATCAGAGAAACAAAAAATTAATTTTAAACAATTAATTGATGAAATTTTATTTATTATTGAAAAAAATTCGTCAATCGGAGATAGTAGTACTCGATAACGAACGATTTAAATTTTTTTATATGATTTTTTTTAATATATATATATATATATATATATTTGTAATTTTTTTTTTTTTTTTATGTAATTTTTTTTTTCTTTATGTAATTTTTATTTTTTTTTAATTCGGCCATTAAAAATGGTCTTATTTATCGTAATTACAGTAATCTCAAACATTTATCAAAATGAATTTATTTAATTATATATATATATATACCGGTATATATTATATATAAAGCTAGTTTCAACGATGAAGCAGAGTAGAAGATTAAATTATATAAATTTAATATTTAGGTAGAATAGTTAATAATTGGCTACGTATTTATTAGTTAGAAGAATGATATTTATGTATTTTGTATTACAATTATCGAGATATCTATAAATTTTTTGATTTTGTATACGTATACTACTTGTAAAATGTAAATTTGTTGTGATATCTTGAGTTATTCAAAGTAAATTGATTTTTTTTTATTAATTATATTATAGCGCTTTGCAAAAAGATGTGAACATGTGATTTTTGTGATGGCGGAGAATCATTGAGATTATTCAAATTTAAGAATCTATACTAAATATAATTACGTATCATATTAATTAGAAATATTACATTAAAAATACATATATTTAAAAAATCTTTAATATTCTTGACAAAATGATCTGCAGTGTTCACATCTTTTTGCAAAGCGCAATAAGCGGACTGTCCTAGATGTTTAAACTATATTTTCGGATGTCCTAAAAAATCCCTAAATTGTAGCTTTGCAAACACACTGCAGATCATTTTGTCATGTGAGAATCGGAGATTTTGCGATCTTAAAGATTTTTTAAATATATGTAATATTTCTAATTATTTAGTATCGATTCTTAAATTTGAATAATCTCAATGATTCTCCGCTATCATCATCACAAAAATCACATGTTCACATCTTTTTGCAAAGCGCTATAAATGTTAAATCGTGATTAGATTTGCTCAGGCTTTTTTTAAATTTAAATTTCAATCCATTCCGATTGCATCTTATTTGTCCTAAAATCGAAAAATGAAAAAAAATATCAACGTTGATTCGAAAAAAAATAAGGGTGAAAAAAAAAATTTTTTTACATATGTTAATTATCATTTTTTTTTTTGTTTGTGAAAACATTGTACTAAAATTTTTGCTTGTCTTTTTTTTTTTTTTTTTTTGGCAAAACCAAATGTAAGAAACTCTGGCAGAACTAACACTAAAGGAACCCGGCAAGGTCAACACGAATAAACTCTCCAGTAGCAAGATCAATCGACTAGATCAACAACAAAAAAAACCCTATTCTTCAAAAAGATCTTTCATTAGTTATCAAATTTGGTAACGATTTATTGGTTGGATGTCATGTGATTGGCTATCATGATTTTCGGACGCGACTTATATAAAGCAACTAGGTTAGGAATAACAAAAAAACGTTTTTTAATGATTTTTATGTTTTTTTAAACTGTTTTAAAATTGCCACTATGATTAGTTAATTTCAAGTTTAGTATCGGCCGTATCTTTTGATCAATTTTCATCAATTTGTAAGTGATACAAAAGTTATTGTATCAATATTAATGACGATATTTTAAGAAAAAAAAAAAAATTTCATTTTAAATCAGTTTTCATATTATATATTTTAAAATCATTTGTCAACCTTATTTTCGGAGTACTCCTAAAATTGAAAGTCCGAAAATACCTCTGCCAACTTTAGTATGACTGATACAGGCTTAGGAGTGTGAATCGATTCTATAATAATCGTTTTAATCGTTGATCGAATTAGAATCAATTCTCATTTCTGTATAATTATTCCAGTCATCTCTATAAACAATTATTGCGTTTTGCAAAAAGATGTGACCCCATGATTTTTGTGATGATAATCGAAAGTAATTTCTGAGATTCTATTAATCATATTTTCGATCATCGATTCATGGGCTGACAGCCCAACGGCCAGGTAAGATCAAATTATTTTGGCCAATATAGATGAACGTTCAATAAATGAAGTTTGACAGTGGTCAAATACAATTACTTCTTCCAAATTCGAAATAATACACATTTTTTTCGAATCCGAGTTTTTACGATCTCTCCTTGTATCATTATATGTTCTTTAGATAAAAAACATTTATTATAATATATATTTTTTTATTGTAGTTATTATTTTATATATGTCATATTTTATTTAATTAATTATTTATAC